TAAATAACTTTATTGGACATAAAATCAAGAAGAAATCTCCATCACAGATTGATTGGAACCTTTGCTGATTGATGTTTAAAACATGCATTAAATGTCTTTCTTGTTTAGGTATGTTTTTCTTGACTCACTACTCAAGCTACATAAGGGCTTTTAGCTGGCACCTTGGTTTTGTCTTCATAATCAAAAGGCTGTAAAATTATTAGCCAGTTTCAGTACTAGAACTGAATTAATGCTTGTTCTTGACAACTTGTCTTCTTTGCAGGTTGTCATTTGCAACCAGGATCACAATGAAGAGTAGAAACCTTTGCTTATGATGAAAGAGAAATTAAAAATTAAAAAAACTCTGATAAAATGCATGAATATGGCTGAAGTACTTTATGCAGTCTACTAACACCCTACATGATGTTTTTGAGTTTGTGTCTCATTTTAGGGTTAGGGTTTTACATTTCAACATATTCAACTGTGTATTAGGGAGCTTGGAAGACTTCAACATAAAGTTTTAACATGGTTTGTTTTAAGTGTATGTGTCAGCATTCCCTTTAAGTTTTGCCACAAGATTTCATCACCTCCCTATATTGGGGTTGCATTATGACTCAATTTCAAGCTCTAACCAAGACGTTCTCAATTCAAAGAGAGATACAAATCTCTTAATCTCATATTCACATGTTCATGAAAGAGTCCTGTCCTCTCATTGTCTTTTCCTTGCATGATAACTTGTTGTTGCTGTCAAGGGAAGCTATCAATGAGTTGAAGCCCTGTTAAGCATTTGCTGAGAGGAAAATATACTTCAGAGGTATGGATGGGTGGACACTTCAGCCAATAGTGAAATGAAAGTTTTTGCAGGAACTTCTACCACCAAAGAAATCAATTGAAGCTCAGAAACACCACAAGGAGCACATCCTTGTCATCTTCAATGGGGCACAGACCTCAAGGCAGTCCTTGTATTGTTGATATTAAGATCCCAGGCATTCTGGTTGTGGAACCACTCTGTCAGTCATCACAACTTTCATGCTTAATGATTCAGTTTCAACACATTCTAAACTTGTAGTGCTGAACAAGTTGCTGTTCAACAACTCCTTTCATGTTGAAGCACACAATTGTGTGTTGTAGACTGTGAATCATATGAAGTAAAAGAGGGGTTTGGCATTATTAAAAACTCTGTCCTACAAACAACAGAGAAGAATGTATTTGGCATGTGGACTTGTAGCTTTGAAGATTTGGTGCAACATGCCCTTTCTTTACTTCCCTGATTGCAGCAAGCTTAAGAATAATTACTCATCAGTGATCTTCATAATCTTGTTTATACTAGCAAATATGTTTGATGCAGATTGTATTGAGCAGGGTAACCTTGTTCTGATGTGTGTGATTCATTGCAGGAAATGTCCACTCTATTTTGGTTGATGAGACCTGAATCATAAAGAGCATCCTGAAAAATTTTGAGAGTATAATAGTGACAGTACAATGGGTCCACATAACACACATCAAACCAAAACAACAAATGTAGTCTTACAAAAACACTATTGACCTAAAGCTGCACAAGACAATACCCTAATACTGAAACAGTGTCCAGTTCATGCTTCAAATTCCTCCTGCTGCACCTTATACTCACATTTACACTCACTGAGAGTTGTCTTGGTGGGTTTTTTTTTTTTTTTTTTTTTTTTTTTTTCCTATTTTTCTATTTTAAAACTTAATCTCATAGTTATACACACAAATTAAGTATTGGAGTATAAGTACAAAGTCAATGCTGATCTGCTGCTGCCCCTGCTTCCAGCTACAACTAGTTTATCTCATGTACAGGCAATAGTGGTGACAAGCAAATCATAGCCACATTTTAGTGCAATATCTTCCAGCATCTCATAGTTTTATTTAGTTTTATTTAGTTTTTAGTTTTTTAGTTTTTTTTTTTAAGTATCACACAAGGGCCAAGAAAGGGTTTTCACCAGATTCACTCACCTAGTTTGTTTTTTTCTTTTTCTTCTACAGTCACATATGATTTCTAGCACACTCACTAAGAAGAGAACAGTAGGTGAAATGGCAATGTAATGCACAAAGGGGTTATTGCCAGTTCCTACATCGAACTATTTAACAATACAAATAAAATCTTCACATTACATCCTTTCAGGTTGGGAGTGTACCCTATTTTCCATCTCTCACCCCTCAATCTCTGAACTCCATGTTTTAATGAATGCTCTTCATTAACTGTCATTGCCCTGGTAACATTAATGCTGTGTAAGTTTTTTCCATCCTGGCTCATCTCATTTTTCATGAATGCCCTCTTTACAACCTTTGCAGAGATTCAAAGCATTGCTGCAGGCTGTGGAATGACCCAGAAGCCTCTCACTCTCTCTCTCCCTCTTTATTACTGGTGATACAGCAGTAATGCCAGTTACTTGTTGGAGTAAATTGAAGACTCCATTTAATTGTAGAATTTCTGAGCACAAGTCTGAGAAAAGAAGTGCTTGTATTACTGCATGAAAAGCAAGATTATTGAAGTGATGTTGAATTGATAATGAGGCACAGACTTATGCTGAACCAGAAAGGACAGTTGCAAAACAGCATTTGTTTTTGAGAGAAGAGTTGTGCATTTGCTATGGAATTGCTGAGGGATCTGGCAGAACCTGCTGCCTGATGAAACCCACAAATTTTTCATGAGCTTCCTACCCTGCAAATCATGCTGTTTGTTTTCCAAGGGTGGGTTTGTTGGCAAACCACTCTCTGGACTTTCTTTATGTGCCACAATGCCAAACATGGTTCTCATTCTTGATTTTGTTTTAGAATAATACATGGACAGTTACACTCCAAGAGGAACTTCAAAGCATTTTGAGTTAGATTGGTTTTGATGTTCATATATATATATATATATATAAACAAGTGTACGACTCATTGATGCAAATCAACATAAATTGCTTGCATCCAGGGACCAAAATATGATTATACTCAACTATAAGTCAATAACTTTGATAGTTGTTAGTGATAATTTTTGTAGAAAGGAAAACTATCGTTTAAGTTTTAATTCAGAAAACACCACAATGTCTTTTTTCAGATAGTTGGTACAACTAGCTTTGGCTAGAATAATTGCCCTAGAAGCTTATCAATGCACGTATAAACTTTCTTTTGTAATAAAATTGAAGCAATTTATCATTTTAAAAACTTATGTAGTCCTTTGATTTTGAGGAACAGAACCAACCAAAACAATTAGGAAAGAAAGAAAAGTAGAAGAAAACACTTGATTCTCATTTTTAACAGTCTAGAGCACCATGTTATTTTTAATATATTGAAAGAGATTTTAGTAGTGAAGCATTATAAAACCAACACTTGAATACCCCATGGTTATTATTTTGGTTACTTTCTAGTGAAAGTGGGATGCTCAGAGTAGAGAATATGAGTGTATCTTCACATGTTTGAATACACTGGATTGGTATGTTATATAAAAGCGTGTTTTCAATACAATCAATGGCAATTTGGCCTAGTTTGTGGTGACATAGCAAAGGGGTTCTCAAATGAGGAAATCATAGAAGAGGGTAGATGACATAGCCTCCATTCACACTGTTGTTAGCTCTGTTTTTATTATTATTATTATTATATATATATATATATATATATTTAATGTAGCCAACACATAAACGTTCATCACTGGCATCGACAAAACAGAATGTGGTTTAATTAATTAATTAATTAAAATTTATTTTATTGTCCTTTTCATTGTCACAATTACCTCGGACTGTCAGGGCTTTTCCTATGGAAACCGAGCCCCTAGGCGTGAGGGAGGCAAATTCCTTGTGGTAAATCCATCACTTTTACCACATGTATGGTAGATTTAGATATATCTACAAAAGATAAAAATATTTTTGGAACACCATGAATTGAATGCAGAGGACCAAATATATCATGGCTCAGCTTCATCGTATCATTTGGGTTCCAGACAACCTCACCACCCCCATGGGAACTTCCTTGCACCTACATCGTTGCTGGATGGATGTATGGATGAATTAAACACTATCATCCATCACTGACCCACACACAACACACCACACACACAAGTGGAGTTTTGGCTCTGGAGGGGACGCAGCAGCTGGGGGGCAAGCTCCCAGAAATAGCAAAATAAAAACATGGAAACAAGTATCCAAAAACTGACAGGAACATTGTTGATTCAGGACACAACAAGGACGTATCATCTATCCATCATTCATCCATAAAATAACATAGCTCCCCCACAACAATGCTCTCTCGTGTGTGGAAAGCATTTTGACTGGCCATAACTTAAATTAAGACTAAAGGTTGAACTTTCTGGGGAACCCACATTCCCAGAAATGGCGAATGCATAACAGTACCGTTCTATCTATCATCCACCCACCATCCACTATAACATCCACAATCATTCATGAATGTCGCTGTTTGTGGGTGATGTTATTGGGCGTGCCAAGCTTGTGGGGAATGTGCAGAGGGCAGAGTGGACTCCAATCCAGGTTTTATTTATTTATTTATTTATTCTCCAGTGCAGACATTTCCTCCAATTCCTTTTCCTGCAGACTTTTCATTTTAGGGTTGTGTGCAAATCCAAATGACTTTTTCCCTTCTTCGGTCACGGGATGCACAGACACTCTTGCAACCATGCATGAGGAATGGCAAACAACACAACACTGCAGGCTCTTGGCCCAAAGCCCAACAGAAACCAGAGCGCATGGCCCTGAGAATTGGGGAGGTCCTCACCCAATAATGCGTCACCGCATTGATGCCGGTCGATCTAATACCCTGTTCTAAAAAGGGTATTATGTGATACACAGGTTTATACCAGGGATGGGACGTATGGGTAGCAGAGCGTTACAGGGATGACAAAGGTCCTAATCGCTGTGCAGCGGTGGGCCCGGTAAAGGAGCCGGGGACGGGGAGCGAGGGAGGGTGTGCGTGCTTGCTTGCTTTGGGGAATGGTTGGACCCCTGGCGGTACTGCGCGGAGGAGCAGCCAGCGGCTTCGGAATCGTTCGGCGCTGTCCGCTAAAACTAGCTGTGGTGGGAAGTAAATGTCGTCGAAGTTACCGTGACGCCGGCTTCGCAGGCTACTGATGGGATGGGCGGCCGGGATCAGTGTGGTTGGGTTGGCAGCAGCGCAGCAGGAGCAGCATCTTAGCCTTCGCCCCATTCGCCATACACTTCATTGTTTGTGACAAGCAGAGGCGTTGTTGTTGTGCATTTGGGTCTGTGATTGGAAGAGGGAGGAGGGGGCGAGGCAGCATTTTGGGTGCATCTCTGAGGTAGGGATTGCTGCCGTTGAGAAGCAGTGAAGAAGAGTATTGGGTCTGGGCGGTTTAGGGTTGGACGTGAATGTTGGCGGGTACTTGTACTGGTTTTTGTCGATAGCTGCTCTCTTCGGGATTTGTAGAAAGGGCAGGTAATTTTTATGTTGCAGGAATTCAGATTGTGTAGACCGTGCTGACAGATGTGAGGGCGTTGTCTCGTGGAAGGGGCTTGAGAGAGAGAGAGAGAGAGAGAGAGAGAGAGGGTGATGGTAATGGTGATGGTGTTGGATTGGTGATTTGGAATTGGTATGAGTCGTGGAGGTTGACGTCCAGAATACTGGATGCTGGGGATCGAGGTTTTGGATGATTTTTTCGCAGACATAGATCGAGCTGCTCATTCTTGTAGGTTAGATGTTTAAGGCATATCTCTTTCTTGGGTAAGGCTGATGCGGTGCGAGGAGACGGCTGGTTTTAGAGTTTTTTGTGCTTGTGCAAGAGATCTCGGGCCCGATACAAAGAATTGCAGTAAACTGCAGGATGGGAAATTTGCATTGTTGTTGATTAGGGCTTTTGATGAGGCGAAAGTAAAAGGCTAAGTGCTGGAGTTTTCAGGGCTTTGTCTGATTATAAAGATTGATGGAAGTCTGTACGTGTGTCTCCGCGTGCGTTGTGAGCGGTTAGCATCGCCGAAGTGCGCGGGGTTCGTGTTTTGGTTTGTTGTTTCGAATGTTTTTCAAAGAGGTATTGGAGGTTCATTTGGTGATCGAAAGTTGATATTTTTGCTTGTTGGGGTTTTTTGATGGGATTACCTTGTTTGTGATTCTGAATAAGGCTGGTTTTGTAAGATATGTCATACGCCCAGAAGTGTGTTTGAAGCCGCTGGTAACAACATGCAACAGACTTTTGTGTTCTGTACCATCGAACATGTTTAAGGTCTTTGTCAGAGGATGGGGTTCTGAGTTTTGTATTCGACATTGGCAGTTTCTCGTCTTTCGCGATAATCGCCACGATGTTTCTGACATAGGTTCAGAAGTAGACGTATACTTGTAAAGTAGGAATTTCAAGCTTATGTTCATAAAGTGCTTCATATTTTGGTGGCTCGAGGCGAGTGCTGCGGGCCTTTTGATAACGGGTGTACGCTACATTGTTGGATTGTACCCGTAGCCTTGGACGAAATTTGTCAATTTGCGTAAATTGTGAGTGATGATCTGACGGTTGTGTTGCGTCTGGGAAGAGGTAAGAGGCCGTATGCCACTGCTTAAGTCGTCGTTCAGGGATGGCTTTTGACGGATTTCAGCGGTTTTGGATGAGGAGTTTCTCGCTTGTCTCCACGATATGTGTGGATTTTCCTATATGTTTACTTTAGGTCAAAATGTAGAGGTCGAACAAGAACAATTTAATGAACTCCCCTAACATCATGCTTCGTAAGGTTATTGGAGGTCAATGGGAGTGGTAACGAGGTGGAATTATCTCACTCAATTGTGGTGACGGTAATTTGTATTGGTGCATATATATATATATATATTCGTCCAGGGTTATTCCTTGAGCAGCTTGCAACGTGATTTTTGTAACCATTTGTGTTCAGTTTGCCTCCTATTTAATCTCGACCTTAGTGGAGGTGGTAGATGTGCTGTGAAGTTATTTGTCACGTCCATTGATTTTGATTTTGATCTGACTAGTCCTTGCCAATCTTGTTGATTTTAAAGTCAAGATCATGTCTGCAGTCTCTTTTAGTGAATTGAAGGTTGTGTGTTCTACTGATCCTGGGTCTTAATCCTTCGTTCGCTCGTTGATTTAATTGACTGCATCACAAGATCCACTAAATGATCTTCTATTTCGGTCCTCGACGCTGATAAAGGGTTTCGTTTTTTACCCGACCGTCGTTTTGCGGTTGCTCAATTCTATGAGGGGAGCTTTCGTTTGAGTCGTACATCCTACTTAGGGCTTCGTGCATGCGAGCGGTTAAATATTCGACATATAGGAGGCACGTCCTGCAGCCTGGAAGGTGTAGAAGCTTGTCGGGCGTGCTCGACTGACTGCATATTGTCATCACGGTTCTCAATTTCCTTGTGGGTCCTTGAAGGTGACCAGCAACAATAAAGTGGAATTTGCGCGCTGGAAATGAAGTGATGTCTATCGGGTGTTTTTCTCACCTTAGGCTAGGTAAGCTTTTTGAAAAGACATTAAGGAATGTTGATACGAATATCTCTTTCAGAAGATCTCATGTGAGACAATTCCTACGTTGCAGCTGGGGCTATAGTTTATTCGCGGTTCTGAGTTGCAGGCCCTTGTTTTTCAGTCCTTGCTCCTACGAATTGAAGACTTATCTGCGAACGCCCGGAATTGTAGCACGAGAATCTTCGGATTCACGAGCTTCCTTCTAAATCATGGCGGGGGAATATTTCCCTGCATGGGCAAGGTCTGTGCAGCAGTGCCTTGACCATTTTGAAGTCGATGTTAGAAGTGGTCTCAGCCAAAGCAGCATTGCAAAGAGGCGTAAGCAGTACGGGTGGAATGAACTGGAGAAGGAGCCTGGAAAACCAATGTGGAAGTTGGTTTTGGAGCAGTTTGACGACATGCTGGTCAAGATTTTGTTGGTTGCAGCGTTGATAAGTTTCATTCTCGCCTACATAGATGGTCATTCTCCGGATACTAGCGGAATTGGAGCCTACGTAGAGCCTTTGGTCATTCTTTTTATACTTATACTGAACGCCATAGTTGGAGTATGGCAAGAAAGCAATGCTGAGAACGCATTGGAAGCATTAAAGGAGATGCAGTCTGAGAATGCAAAGGTTTTCAGAGATGGTAAATATATTTCGGATTTGCCTGCTCGAGAGCTTGTTCCAGGAGATATTGTAGAGCTCCGTGTCGGTGATAAGGTTCCCGCAGACATGCGCATTGTAAAACTGAAGACATCAACTGTGAGGGTTGAGCAGAGTTCGCTTACAGGTGAAAGTATGTCTGTGACGAAAACCAGCTATGCAGTGGAGGAGAATATTGAGTTGCAAGGCAAGGAGTGTATGGTATTCGCGGGCACCACTATTGTGAACGGTTGTTTCCTGTCTGTGGTAATAACCACCGGCATGAAAACTGAGATTGGCAAGATCCAATCTCAAATCCAGGAGGCTTCACTTGAGGAGGCAGATACGCCTCTGAAAAAGAAGTTGGATGAATTTGGAGAGCTTCTAACTAAAGTGATCGGTGTGATATGTCTTCTTGTCTGGATCATCAATTACAAATACTTTTTGTCATGGGAGATGAAGGATGGTTGGCCCACAAATTTCCAATTCTCATTTGAGAAGTGCACATATTATTTCAAAATTGCTGTGGCTTTAGCTGTTGCAGCTATCCCAGAAGGGCTTCCTGCCGTTATTACCACTTGTTTAGCTTTAGGAACAAGGAAAATGGCAGCCAAGAATGCTATCGTCCGGAAGCTCCCTAGTGTTGAGACTTTAGGGTGTACCACTGTTATCTGCTCCGACAAGACCGGCACATTAACGACAAATCAGATGTCTGTAACTGACCTTGTTCTCAATGGCCCAGCAGCTGGAGTGACCCGTCAATTTCATGTTGAGGGCACGACATACAGTTTCTTGGATGGAAAGATTGCTGGTTTGCGTATTGGCCAGTTGGACCCGAACATTCAGTCCTTCGCTGAAATCGCTTCACTTTGTAATGATGCTGGAATCTTATATCAGGGGAATACATTCAAAGCCACTGGCATGCCAACTGAAGCAGCCCTGAAGGTGATCTTTTGGATTTCGATTTCCGTTGCCTACTTATTCTATTAGGAAGCTGTGGTTGTCTAGGTCGTCATGTAACGTAGTCACGTGGCCTCAGTACATACATTTGTGTTGGAGACTAGCGGCTGATTGTAAAGTCTTGTCCATGATGTGATTGATTAGGTTGTGGTGGAAAAGATGGGAGTTCCAGATCCAGCCACCCAGTCAATCATCACCAACCAGCGTTCTAGTGAAGCATTGGCTCTGAACGGGGAAGTGCCTTTGGGTAAGTATTTTCTCTCCTCGCTTAAGATTTGGGTTGCCTGCTCTAGTCTTCTTTTTCATTTCTCTTTCAGGTGATCATGGATTGAATCATCTTCTAGGTAATACAGCATAGTTCCTGATTGATGTAATCTCCGTTGTGATCGGTGGTTCTGTGATATTTATACAAGAGTTGTTGAAACCTAGCTTGGATTTGTAGTCCAATATCTGTAAGTCGCTTTTTCAGTCTAGGGTACCCTGCTGTGCTTGGCTTTTACTGTCCTTAATCCCAATTTTTTCATCATCCTTATCGTCAGGCTGCAATGACTGGTGGAGCGAAAACGAGCCTAGAATTGCGATTCTTGAGTTTGATCGCAGCCGCAAATCAATGAGCTGTATTGTCAGGAAGGATGGAGTCAACAGGCTGCTTGTGAAGGTATGCAGAAGTAAATTTTGAGTTGCAAATATTTTATTCTGATCTGTCATCATGTATGGCTTTCGACACTCACGGATCGTGTTTGCTAGTTGGCTTTCCGTTCTTATCTTGTCTTATTGTTGACTGTGTTTTCCTTTACAATTATGTAGCTACAATGGTATTTTATATTATAGATTGTTGCGGATTCTGACTGACTTGTGTGTTTTATACAAATGATTGACTTTGAGTTCTGAACCAGTGTTAGACTAACACGCAGGATCTCAACGTTAATCTCAGTTGAATCCCTCGCTGATGTCCTTGAAATTTGCTTGATTCCAACTATTGCCTGGTTGCAATCAGACTGCTGTTTTTACCCAAAACTACGTAATGTTTTGACATCGTCATTTACGTGAAACACTTTGCAATTCTATCTAATTGGACCCACTCTTAAATCTGCATAAAGGAAAAAAACCTACTTCATCTATCCATGTGTGTTTACGATTGACGGTTGATACCAGGGAGCCGTGGAGAACATTTTGGAGCGTAGCACTCGTGTGCAACTTTCAGATGGTTCAGTGGTGAAAATGACACAATCAGCTCGTGATGATCTGCTTGCAAAACTGGATAGCTTGAGTGCTAAGGCACTCCGCTGCTTAGGGTTAGCCTACAAGGATGATTTGCAAGATCTTGGTGATTACGATGGAGATCATCATCCCGGTCATGCAAGGCTCCTGGATACCTCAAATTATGACAAGATTGAAAGCGATCTCATTTTTGTTGGCATGGCTGGAATAAGAGTAATTTCTCCACTCTGACCTGTCAGTTTTTGGTAACTTTGGTCGCACATAGATAATTGCTTTTTATTGATTTCTCAATTTATGAAATTTTATGAAACAAATCCTTGGGAACACGTTGCCCTTTTAAGTGTACTACCGAAAAAAATTCTAGACTGACGTCCCACTTTACTTTGATGTAGTATTTTGATAAGGTTCATATTTGTTATACTTGTTTGCTCTCTTTAGTTCTGTTATACTTGGTTTTTAAAGAAGTTGAAAATCCCTGCAGGACCCTCCCCGTGAAGAAGTACGTGGGGCAATCGAAGATTGTAATGAGGCTGGTATACGAGTGATGGTCATAACTGGAGACAACAAAAACACTGCTGAAGCCATTTGTTCTGAGATTGGTATCTTCAAGGATGGTGAAGATCTCAAAGATAAGAGCTTTACAGGCCGTGAGTTTATGGAGTTTTCTCCCGAACGTCGCAGGAAAATTCTTTCTGGTACTGGAGGTCGTGTTTTCTCACGTGCGGAGCCTAAACACAAACAAGACATCGTACGCATACTGAAGGAGGCTGGGGAGGTTGTAGCCATGACTGGTGATGGCGTGAATGATGCTCCTGCCTTGAAGCTTGCTGACATTGGAGTGGCAATGGGTATTGCGGGAACTGAGGTACTTGGCCATATACCTACGGAGATCCTTGCAATTTGCATTTTAAAGAAATTTATGTCACTGTTTCGTAATCCTCTACGATGGATTTCTTAATTCACTTTTATTTTTAAACGTTTCAGAGAAAAGTCTTCGAGGTTGAGTATGCTGAGTGATTTCACTTTCACGTGTGCGAAATAATTTGAAGTTGCATGATGATATGCAGGTGGCGAAGGAGGCAGCAGACATGGTGCTTGCAGATGATAATTTTAGCACGATTGTGGCAGCTGTTGGAGAAGGTCGTTCGATATACAATAATATGAAGGCCTTTATCAGGTGGGTAATTTGATTTAATAAATGAGTTGTATTAGGCTGAGCTTATTAGAATTAAAAATTGAATTCTAACCTGATTTGTGAACCTACAGATACATGATATCGTCAAACATTGGTGAAGTGGCATCAATATTTATGACAGCAGCATTAGGCATGCCGGAAGGATTAGTACCAGTTCAACTTCTTTGGGTAAATCTAGTGACCGATGGCCCTCCAGCCACTGCTCTAGGTTTCAATCCTCCCGATTTGGACATAATGCAAAAGCCTCCTCGGAAAAGTGATGATGTCCTAATTAACGCATGGGTGTTCTTCCGCTATTTGGTACTTATTCACCTGACTCCGGAATGTTTGTGCTGATAGTGTATTGAATATTTGCTGTTGTAAGCATTCAGTACTTTTTCAAAAGGTTCTTGCAAATTCTGTGAATTTGTAATCTTTGTATCTGATACGTGATTTTTTCGGCTGGTCTCTGCCTCGTGGGTTTCTTCGGCTTAGTTTTATTACCTAAAGAAATTGCTGTCTCCAAGAATACGCCTATTATTTGTTTATATGTAGTTAGGGGTGACTACAAAGCTAGGATTTTATGGAGGTGGAGTTGTGGAGGCGCATTGGGCTTTGCACCTTTTTACTGACTTGATATGGATATGGAATCTCGTAGTCAAGGTTCACCACTAATCTGTTTGTCTTGGATTCTGCAGGTCATCGGCTTGTATGTGGGAGTAGCTACTGTAGGTGCATTTGCGTTGTGGTATACTCAAGCCTCCTTTCTTGGGATCAACCTAGCAGCTGATGGTCATACGCTGGTGAGTTTCTCACAATTAACGCACTGGGGCGAGTGCTCTACATGGAAAGACTTCAAGGTAGCGCCATTTACTGCTGGCGACCTGACACTCTCCTTCGATGACAATCCGTGCGATTATTTCACGACCGGGAAAGTGAAGGCAACTACTCTCTCATTGTCCGTTCTTGTGGCCATCGAAATGTTCAACTCTTTGAACGCCCTTTCCGAAGACGGGAGTTTAGTGTCTATGCCGCCCTGGGTCAACCCTTGGCTACTTTTAGCTATGGGCCTTTCCTTCTCCCTTCACTTTTTGATTCTTTATATTCCTTTCCTGGCCAAGATATTTGGCATTGTGCCATTAAGTCTGTTAGAATGGCTCCTGGTTCTTGTTGTATCTCTCCCCGTGATTTTGATAGATGAAGTCCTTAAGTTCATCGGTAGAAGAATGAACCAGCGTGAGCGACAAGCCAGGAAGTTAAAATGGGCTTAAATGATAGGTGACAGGGATGTTTGACAAGGGAATTATAGTACTTGGGCTTGGTTGGTATGGATACCAGGTATGGCTCATTCCACATGCACTTATTATTTCTTTCTTCCCCTCAAACTGTCCTCTACTAAACCTGGGGCACTCTTTTAGCTTATCCAGAGGTCCTTGGCCATTCAACACTTAGACCTCTCATTTAATTGCTAGCACTAACACTGCAACAGCATATAGTTGTCGTTTAAAGTCAATCAAATGTCTGGTTGCGTTAGCTGAGGCTCCTTGCGCTCATAGAAGTGCAAATTGAACTTGTCCATTGTTAGGATTCATTCATGGATATTTTCAAGAAAATTAAGTTAGCTTATTTTGATTGTGAATATTGCCCTGCTGCCCCAGAGATTGTTACAGGACATTTTGGTGAATTCATGAATTTCATACTGGACCCCATTCAACTTTTTACTGGAAGGTCAACTTTTCCTCTTCATATAATTGTAATTTGATACTGCGGTATCGTTGGCCCCATTGTACTGGCATCTCGCACCCGACTGTAAAACAGCAGTATTCTGTGTCGCACATCTGTTTTTGCACCTGAACACACTTGTATAATTTGAGTATTTTGATTTTTCCAGAAATAAGTGTAGATTCGTATTACATATCAGAGTCCCACTTGATGAATGCAGGAGTCTATTTCCATTGCCCTTGATGTTGAGTATAAGCTTGGGGGTTGCTCGAGAACTTTCATCCTTCTCGCTTGCTGCTGCTTTTTTTTTGAAGTGAATTTCCCAAGATTTTTCTTGCAGCAAGGATGAAGAGAAATTGTGGTGAATTGCTGGATGCTTCAGTTTGTTTTGACAAACTTGTTTTAGTTGTGAACCTTCAAGATTGTTTGGAAAGGGGAGACCTTGAAGGCTCCTTGGAGAGTAGCCTTTGCAACAGGTGTGACGGATTAGAGTGCTGTGAGGGAATTGTATACACCAAAGTTGCGACATAGCTACCAGGGTGTGAACCTTTTCATACAATTTACGCATTGAAGAGATTCTCTTAGATTCATGTGTTGTGATCCATCATTGCAATGAAATGGAATCTGCCTTCCTGTCTCACATCGAAACTGGTGCCTTCAATTCATTAGTTTAAGTGTCCACTTAAAATATCCTTAGCTCCTTCATTTGTAGCCTCAAGGTTTGTAATAAATCAACAAAACAAACAAATCAACCTGGAAGTCCAAAAACTTATTTTATTTGCGAAAGATTTTATTATTATCATTATTAATAAAGAAATTATGTAAGGAAAGACAATGAATAAATCATAATTCTTGAATTGTTAGAACCTACACAAGTAAAATTTCTGTTAGAAAAGCCACATTAAACATATGAAGCACATGTGATTACTGTATCATCTAACTCATATAACAATATATGTTACAATACAAGGTTTCGATTTTTTATAATGTGTGATCCATACATTAAAAATTGTGCTGGCACTTCTTTCATACCCAACATTACACGATAGGGACTAATGAGAGAATATCGTGTTTTCGGTGGTGCAACAGTAACTGTGCGATGGAAAGATAATTTATATTTCAATTCACATTAGAAAATACACAATTTATATCATATAGCTAATAGTGATAAATTAATTTTAAAAATATGATCTTTATTACTTGCATCAATTGATTGGGATTGGATAAGCCACATTAAACATATGAAGCACATGTGATTATCATATTTGATGGGGTACAATCACTTCCATACAACTTTTTATAATGACTGTTTTGTACTAATCAGGTATACATTTCACAAAACTAGAATTGAATACTCTTTCGTTGAAGAATGTTCTGCAAAATAATCAAAACGTACACGACAAACTCAAACATGATTCAATTTTGATATTTTTCATAACCGGTCATTCTAAAGCACATGATCATTTATGTAACATAATGATCAAGTAATAATTTGATTTCATGGTTTGTAAGCTGTACAAGCCAATCAACACACCAATCAACAGTCACAACGGATTCAAACTTTGGAAGATGTTGCATAAATAGTTTACACTTCAATTAAGCCTGAGAAGGAGAAACTTTACAAAGGTCATGGGACGAGCACGTTACAATCTACACCTGATATAAAATTACACTCAACACCTAATCTTCTTCTTTTCTTCTTCTTCTTCTTCTATCTATGTTCTTCTCGAACATTTTTGCTTCCATTTTTGAGTTATCATGAAAATCTATAACATGTGGGAAAAATGAGCTTCACGATATCAACCACTCACTGTAGAGAAGTAAAATAAGAGGACGTACCATCGATGAAGTATAGTACCACACAAATAAAAGGGTTTCAGTTACAAAGATACATTCGTGTTCAGTAAAATCTACACAGGTATGTCTGGTTCAACAAAAGCTGAAGACTCAGGAAGCAATCGCTGTGTCTTGGAGTTTTGGTCCACGTTCAAGTCTACGTGACACAGTGCTGGGTGCATGTATGCGTCTCGGATGGAGTTCAGAATCTCATCTTTTCGCCCAGATTCGTCGTCAATCGAGTCCTTCTTCATTGTACTCTGTCGAACGAGAGCATTCGAGAATGAGAAAACAATATTCGTTATCATGTAAGTTTGTATTCAGCAACAAGATATGGAAATGTTTCAAAGACCTCATGAAATCACAAGATGAAGAGTTCCTAAAGATGTCAAGAAAATATACCTCCAGATTGAAATTTTTGAAGATGGGGAGAAATCGCTGGCGGCAGTGCTCGTGGAATAGCCAAGTCAGAAACGGGAGCGGTATGCACGCAATTGAAGCAGATTTCAGTCCCTTCAACGAGAACATCCCAATGAACACAATTTGCATGAAGACAATGCATCCTATGGTTCGGCTATGAATCTCAGGCCAGTATTGACCACCAGTCTCGTAAGCCGGTTCGTAGACATTCAAAACCTGGAAATGCCAGAACGAGCGTCGTTACAGGAGTTTTGATACTGTCCCATTCGAAACGTTTCCATATTTCATTAATATTAGCAGAAAATTATGCATTACAACTAGTGACAGAAACTGATACGGAACGCAAGGGGTGTGGTGTGGACATGTACCTGATTGCGGTAGACGATGTAGCCCAAAGTGAAGTAAATGAGTAGGAACGGAAGGATGAGAGGGCTAACAATCGAATACACCAGACCCAACAACACGAAGAAGAGCACCAAAGGTAGAGTGCGGTAGTATGGCAATGAAAGGACTTGGTCCAGCAGTGGCTTATTCTTTTCCACCGTGTTCCGCTTCACAAAGTTCAATACTAGAACGCCCGATTGCAGGATTTCAAGTGGCATGCCAGCCCATCCTGTCGTCATGATGTACGTGATGAAAAAGCTCGCCTGCGTGAACACTGGTATGAGAAAAAGATGTCATGCGTAATTTTCTGCTAATTTTAACAAGCAGTTTGATTGACTGAGGTGTTTCAAACTGAAGAGGCCGCTGTTCTTACTCGTGTAGGGATGGCTTCAGCGAGGCGCCTTGGGATACCCTTAGGATCTTCTGTGAAAGTTTCACTGATAGTGAGAAGGGACCCACTCAGGACTGAAGCAAGGAAGATGTTTCCTGCCAACAGACTGAACATCTTCGAGGACGCCTTTCGCTCCTGATGGCTTACAGAGGGGTGTCCTTCAATCCGAGAAAGGAAGAAAAAGATACTAGGCACCATATACAAGAGCAGTGCGAGCAGAAGCGCCGGCAGGTAACCCTGAACCAAGGAGCTTATCGCAGGACTGCAACAAAGAGAAACCCCAAAACAGACTAGCACATTATTAGTACATAGATCATTGTTTCAGTTATGTTGATGAGAGTTCAACCAATAGATATCAACAGGAAATAGCTTCAGAACCTTGAAATTCAATTTGGAGTTGGAAGAATATAAAAGTTGCGTACATTTCCAGGACGTTCGCTACTATGACATTTGGCAAATATTTCTTCACGTTATCCAGATTATCCAGAAGCTGTATTGCAGCCACGATTGGGTAATAGATTGCAGTAAGTGCTAATGCCAGTACCGTCGATACAATCCTACGATAAAAGAGCTGATCATAAGGTATTTCCATGTTGGGCCAGTCGATGTCTCGTGGTTCGGGTGCCCACTGTGTGACCCAATGCATTGGGTTAGTTGATTGCTGTGTCTGCGCTGTCACAGTTGCCCCCCAACGTGAACGCACTGTTACGAAAGCATTTGGAATCTCCTGCACAAGTTGGATTCCGAACGATCATTACATTGGAGTTAGACATAAAATACTGACTTGTGAAATAAGATTCTCTAACAGAGCGTGGAGCTCACTTAACAAGTAATCAGAAATCAAAACAATAATTCAAGAACTGTGACAACTTCTTGCAAGACCTCATGAGCCCAATCCTCTCACTACCTTCTTTTTCTGTCGAAACTCCATCTGGCATTGCCGAATCTGATGATGCACGTCCTCCAACTTTTGCATGTGAAGTTCAACAGGATCTACAAGTGGCCCATAAAGTCCCAAAAGACCTGCTCGGCGAGGCTTTCTTTCGGTCGGTGGCTTTTGCTTCAGCTCGAAAATCTTTAACTTCAGTTTCTCCAGCTCGTTCTGTTCGCAAAACCCTGGCCCATTAATTCAACCTCACCCTTCGGCGTCGAGCAGTTTGCACGCGACATGAGACAGAATCTAAAATGACCAGCTTCTGATGTGACCAATAGGTTTGTATGCGTTTCGTGTTATCATAAGTGGAGGACATACCAGCAGGCTTGTGACATGGCCAGATTTGTAAACCATGTGATGTGACAAGTATTCAATTGGGTGAAAGCGACGGAAGAAGTCGTCCACATTGTCACTATAACTTAGTTCTTCATTTTCAGGCTGCGGAATAGACTGAACGAGCACAGTGAACTGATCGGGCTGGGGCAGTACGGTGTCAAGGTATTCTAAACGCAACTTTGAGATGTGCTTGAACTCCTGTGCAAAGAAAGAAAGCATTAGATAAGAACATGAAGATGATGCCAAATCCTGTTTCCTGGTGGTTTATAAGAAGCACTTGAACCTGAAAATCTTTCCAAAATTTGTCCTTACAATGTACAACAACGCGTATGCACTGAAGGAGATAATGTACAGAACCGCAAAATGAACCCACAACCTGTACAGCACAATAACGAGAATGAATACTTGCAAAAGGCGAACATAAGTTCATGGTACACATTGCTCTACTTCAAGGTTCATAAGCTCATGTTTGCTACAGTGAGTTTCCTGTAACACCTTGATAAATACTATTTGCGGCATCCTTGATCATCTTCACTTAAACCCTTGCCTATTTTAATGAGATCAATTTCAAGTGAACAAAACCTCCACTCTCCAGAATCAATTTAATATCTGATTAAATCATAAATCACTGTGCTTACCGCATTGAGCCATAAGAGATGTTGAGGATGGTAAGTTTCTCCAGAGTCCCATACGCATGCTCCTTTTTTTCATCCGGGTTATCAGCGAGGTAAGTGTCCGTGTAATTTAGAGGCGCCAATGCCCCGAATGCAACAATCGTGCAGATCATGAAAAAGCGCATGCTGGTGCCGAAACAGATGCCACACCAACAGATGTAAGTCAGTTCGAATTACATAACGAAATGCCGTCAGCAACGACTCAATCCAACAATTCGAGTTGGTTGATAAGGTTAACAAGCAAGTAGGGAATCGTACTCCATGAGTTTCTTTGTAATATGGTCCAAGACCTTCAAACATTCGGAGTAGCTCTTTTTTTGGAGACGCCAATGATAAAATCACTAGACTAATAGAGAAATAAAGCCATGGCAACCAGCTACGCAGTATCACTAGTTGAATTTCAGAAAAATATCTTGTTAAAGATCTTTCCACTTGTTTCAATATTTTAACGAAATACGGAATGATTCGAACCATAACGCACCAAAAGATGAAGACCCTCAGGAAGACTACTGCATCGACACCAGATGATTTAAGAATGTCTTCTTCGGAAGGATCCAAAGCACGCTTCACCCAGGTTGCCGATGGGACCAAGTTCTCCAGGCTAAAAGTCTCCTTCTCTTCGCCAGTAAGTTTCATCCGCTGTCGCTCGCGCAGCAGGTGGCGAGTAAAGTACACCCCAGCATTCGCATGTTGTTTCCGAAACACAGAATACAGGGTAAAGAACAGGATGGCTAACCCTAAGTTGATCCCCGCCGAGGTTGCCAAGTATATGATCTCCATCCTCACAACCCAAACTCCACCACACAATCAATTAAGGCGCCACGCAATCTGCCCAGCTATGACACACCCCACCGACACTTCTACCATCCTGGCACCCACTAACTCTCGAGAATACGCAGCATCGCACCATAGGAATCCATTCCTGTTCTCGAAAAGAAGATAATAAAAATATATATGTTAAAAAAATAAAAAATAAAAAATCAGCTCCTCGAGTTGCATCGAACTAAAAAACTACAAGATTCTAGGCGCTATCCTTAGAGGCAAACCACAACGTGACCTTTCGAACCACGAACAAGCATAGTACCACACATCAAAATTTTCCGCTAACAAACATCGACAACAAATACACAATCAAACTAACAGTTCCTCAAAAGCAGCCACAAGACCACACACCGAAACACGTTTCCAGTCCTACTACCGTAATCTCCACTGACAAACACATTCTTAAACAGCAAAAAAAGCTCTACGCTTCTCAAAATGACGACAATAACCAACACACACGCACAACAACGGCACACACACACCAGTCAAGCGAAACTCGCACCTCCATTCACCGACGAGACCGCATGAGACCGAAGTGAAGCAACGTGGGATCGGCGGACGACCCTGGCGACAACAACAACAGCTTCACCCAACAGCAATGACTCGAATCGCCTGGTTGCCGCCGCCACCACCACAACCATGTAGCAGATTGAAGGCGAAGCTAAATTCTAGTGAGGAAGGAAAAGTTGGGGGGGGGGGATTCAGAGAGGGAGCTAGACAGAGACGCCAAAGCTGCACTGCACCAAGATGCTCTCTCTCTCGCTCTCATGCAATCCGTGGAGCTTCCTTCGCCGGGATGATGAGCCAATCCCATTGCGACAAGCAGCCATGTGCCGCAGAGGACGACACTTGTCAGGAACCCAGCGGGGCCGGCCACTTTGTGTCTCCCACCCCCTCCCCGCCCCGCTGGACGTTCCAACGTTCCCACGTTCTCTCCATTGACGGATCCCACGCCACATCAGCGTACCTAGCTGGCGTCCCTCATCGGATGATGCCCACTGAAGAACTTTGGCCACTGTAGAATTCATAAGTTTCATAATTATTAAATAAGTGAACTTTTTATAAAGAAGAAACAACAACAAGAAAAATCATTTGAATACTTCAGAAGCCAGCCAATTTTTATTCAAAAGAAAAACTAGTAGAATTCTTGTTGTTGTTTCTTCTTTATAAAAAAAATATAATACTGAGTATTCATACATTGTTAGATGTAAGTAATAATTTTTTCAACAAGTATATAGATTTCACACATTAATTGCTCTTAAACGTCCTTATCTCGCACACAAAAAAAACTCCAAACCAAGACTTTCACGAAGGTTGGCCAAAAGCATGAGATGCAAAATCCTGAAACACTATCTCCTTGTCAAAAATCCACAACAACAAAAACAAAGAAAGGAAGAGGAGGCAAATCCATTGCCACGTCACATTACAAACCTGTCACAATCCACACTAGAAGGGAACATTACCCAGTTCGGAAGCAGACCGTTTCACACTGCACTCCGTTAGGGAACCGTGTGAGAACCACAGCCATGTTTTGACTATAGAAAGAGAGGGAAAATACAACACAAAAAGGCAAGAATAAGCAGAAGAGGAAAATGAGTAGAATAATATCAAACAAAAAGAGTAGTTGGGTACTACTGCAAATAAATCCTTGCCCCGGATTCAACCCTTTTCTCCCCGTGCTTTGGGGTACGCAAAGATCAATATTCGGGAACAAAAACCCCATTCGTTTGGTTTAATTCAATACTGGATGAGTTGGCCCCTTCCATGGGCTTGACTGCAAGGGCAGAAACTTCCGACGATGAGAACCCTGTTCACACCGCACCTGGTATGCAAGCGTTCAGCAGATTTGAAGTCGTCTGGCTGCGGTGGCTGTGAAGAAGGAGCAGCGGTAGCAGCAGCGAGTGGGCGTCGGCGCATCACCTCGCGTCTTCGGAACAGTTGCCCCTCAAGCAATCCGCCAAGCAGCGCTAAGAAGAACCCATTGTTCCCCGCCAGAGTGCGGTGCAGACTTTTTGTGCAGACACCCATTTTGTGCTATTTATAGCAATCTCCGCTGTCTCTCTCCGGGTCAGTGAAATAGATCCACGCCTCTTGTGTGTGGGCGAGGCAGTGGGTCAGTGAAGTTCCTTGAAATTGGCGGGGTCGGGTTTCTTTCCTATTTGCGCTGAGGCGTAGACTGTTGGATTGTTGGACACTTGAGTTCGCGCGGCGCTCTTCCTGCGAGCGGGTATGTTGGGTTGAGTTTTCGTGGGGAATGAACAGAATGGAGGTGGAGGGTGATTTCTTTTGTGTTGTTCGACGAGGATTGGAGGCCTTTTCGTTGTTTGATTGTGGATTTGCGGTGTGAATAGCTGTGTGGAATTTGGATATAGAATAGGGTTGTACGAGGACATTCCGATATGTAAATGTTGGAAGGATTAGTGGGGTGCGATTGGATTTGTAGTTAGAGATCCGTCGTTATTCCGGGTGGTGGAAAGTTTTCATAGATTTGAAGTGTTTTTCGAGGTGAGGGCGAATTATGCCTCGTTCTTTTTAGGATTTCTTCTATCATGGACCCCGCTTAGGCGAGTGCATTTACCATGTTGAATTTTCTTGACAGGCGAATATAAGGGTGTGAAAAGACGCTCAACGATTAGAAGCAGATCGTGATACTTGGGTGCTCTTCCCAATCTTCCCCACATGGCGTCCCTTAATGAGGTACATGATGAGAGCTTAAGAGAATGTCTCTTGTTCACGTATCTAGAGTCCAACATAGTTGAGGATTTATGTTTCTTCAGTCTGGAGCGCAGGTGTTAGTCCGGGGTCAGTTTAGGAAATAGGTTTACGAAAATCGGGTGTTGGAAGTAGAGTGCTCATTCGTATGATCTTGTTGCTTACAGAAATCTAAATTGGGTCTTCTATTTTGCAGATAGTTGGTTATGAAAGGTGTTCAATGGTAATACCTACTCACTCTTACGAATTACCACCATATCAGGTAATCCAAGTGAAAATGCAACTATTTTGTGTGTGAATCGGAGAAACCCAAGGGATTGTCTATTTGTTGCATGACTCACTTCTCGGCGTTGCCCTAGATGTTCTTCTCAGGGTGGTTTTCTTGTACTTCGCAGCTCGAAATGAAAATTATAGCCAAGGTGCAAAATGCGAGTCCGAAAAAACTGGAGAAATTAGACTTCTACATGAAAAGGACAAAAGGTATTAGTTCCTGGATTTTGCAGAAGAAAAATAAATGCATCAGAGAGGTTTGCTATGAAATGAGCCATTTTTCAAGTCGTTGCTGCTGCTTTTCGTTCGGACTTTTTAACGTAAGAAAAGTTGACAGACCTTGCGAGAAATACTACCGCATCGCTATCTTTTTGATGATGGTTGCCATTTTGTCGTGGCAGGATATGCTACGTGTGAAATCGACCAACAGAACAACACCATCAAGATTTGTTCTTTCTCAAACCTTCATACTAGAGACATTTTATTCTACATAACCAATCACCTTGACCCAAATGCGCGTGAGACGTGAAGACCGAAGGCTACAATGTTAAAACACGTTGGAATTGGTACCATACGATTGTGAAAATTCAGGAGCGTTTCACTGCTCTGATTTATAATTCATGTGATATAAACTTCGGCTAGTTTTGCAACGGAGTGTGGCTTTGCAAACGTATACACACTTCGTAGTAGGTAGTTTACATACAAGAGTTTTGGTACTTTTAACTTCTCCAATTCATATGGCTAAAATTTCGGTTTTCTTTTTTTTTCTTTTTTTCGACGACAATTGGTCACATTTTTTTCTTTCTAACCGGCACATGTTGACTTGTCAGTTTTACATCTCCTTTACCTGCATTGTGATTCGCTCATCTCCATGATTATATCGTTAATTAATATCCCCCTCAACAAGCAAAAGGAAAACTAAATCTTAGGTAATACAACTGCATTGCGTTTTTCGAGTTCAAAATCTTGCAAGTAACCTTTATGTCAGGAATTAGAAGTATTCCAATAATGTCAGAAATTTATATACAGCAACGGCTCCGTTCAACCCTGCATTCGACATACTAATTCTTCGTCATGAAAATCGAAATTTATACGCTCTCTAACTAGACCACATGTCTCTTTAGAAGACAATAATCCTTAAAATGATAAAATCTAGACTGGAGGCACAACGCTGTTGGCAAACAACTTCAAAATTGGTCCTTGAAGGAAAAGTTCGGTGACGATGAGGGAAAAGAATCCGATCATAGCTGCACGCCCATTCCACCTCTCTGCCTTCGCTGTAAAAGGACCGAAGCTGCGAGCATCGGTTGACTCTTTGGCGTTAAAAATCGGCACCAAGGATGCATACGTGAAAATTTGAACAGACGCAAGGAACCAGATTAAACCAGTGCTTCCGGGGCTGAAAACTTGGTCAATCACCGAAAGACCAGTGGCATTCTCCCCAACCAATGCCCACACGAACCCCAACATCGCCTGCAGAAATCAGCGGGACGTTGTTAGGTTAAGACACAGGCTTAGCCGAAAGAATAACCATTTCCACAAATTTCAAACATGTTTCAAAATACAACAGTTAAAACTGATCTTAAGGTATGCAGCTGAGTGTAACTGAGCAAGAGGGCGTCATACCAGTCGGCCATTGATCGTCTCAGGCGCAGCACCATCAAAAGCAAAGACACTCCAGGGCGACAAGTCTCCGGTCTCGGGTCTCCGCTCGACCTCAGGACGGCCATACACGGACCCAGGAGTGGGCTTAGCACCAAAGATGGATCGCTGCTCAGACTCATTGGTCGCCTGATTCTGCAGCACCTCTTCCTTGGTAATTGTCTTCTTAGTCGCTCGATCAAAGGAACCTGCCACTCCAGGAGTGGAGGTGGGAATGGGAGCCTTAGGCCCTTCTTCATCCACCTCACAACGCACTCGCCCCGCACGCCGGGTCAACAAACGAGGAGAGTTCACCAACCTCGCAGCTTGAGAAACGCCCGCAACTCGGCAAGGCAAATTGATCCCACCCAACATGGCACCGGTGCCGGCACCCACTTGGGACACGACGGCTGCCATCGTCAACAACCCAAGAAAACACTAGCAAATTACGATCTCTCACTTACAATACTCACACACTAGCAACGATCTCAAACTCAAATTGGAAAGGCTCTTCGACACACACAGCAGACAGAAGAGTAACTCGCTTCGGGTTGAATACTACATGTCCAGAGCCAGAGCCAGACGGCGAATATATAGCTGAGTGAAGGACCCGTGAAGAAAAATCCAGAGGGTACCATGAGAGATTGGAGCCGTTCAACGAGCCATCTGGTGATTCATGCATGCGTTACTCACCTCGACGTGGCCGCCGCGCTGCTCGGGACATGGAGCCTGGGTGAGTGACGAGTCCAGAAGGGCTCCCGCTGGACGTGGTCTCGCCCTGGCGCCTCCTTTTGTTTTGCCCTTCCCTGCCCCTGCTTGCTGCTTGTCGACGTCGCTCCCTTTTGCTTTTGTCCGACGTGGCACATTCAACCTCTGATGAATCTACGTGGCTTATCCCTCCCTTGGCCTCTGTCCTACGTGGCATACTCCCCTCTGGATGACAGTGTGTTCATCCCACGTGGAATGGTTTTTTTCATCCCCGCATTCAAATTTGCTGGATGGTGACATTTTTTAATATGCTCAATGATGTTGTTGTAATGAAGACATTGTAATTTATTTTAGTTTTGTGTCGTTATTTAATGCTGTTGTGAATGTATCATATTGATATTGCTGCTGAATAAAGACAGTTTAGTTACAATGAATGTTAATTCTGTTTAAAGTTTGTAATATTTTTGTAACTGTTTTAAAATTCTGATATTAATATCTTCATTGCATCAATTAGAATCAGTGGGTTGTGGAAAGCGCGAATAAAAAAGTGTATTTCTTTTATTTTCACAATATCATTCAACAAAATGGACTATAATAAAATCAGGTGCTTCATGTTAGATTATGCCACTGCCGCTGCCCCTGCCGCTGCCGATACCTCCACTGCCGCTGACGTTACTGGCATCGCCGCCGCCCTTGCCCTTGCCCTTGCCGAGACCAGCGCAGAGGAAGACGACGTTTCATCCGGAGGACATTGATTGATAGTGTCAACGATCAGTGCTCAGACTTGCATGGATTTCAGGTCTTGGTCGATCGAGAGACAGACGCGCACTCGGGTGTTCATGTCAACTACTTGAGGACGGGTCTGGATGGCCATAGTTGAAGAGACTTCGATTGTTATGAAGCGAGAGTTTAGAGTGGAATTTGAGTTGCCTTGCCACAATTCACGAACCAGCTCTTCCCACACACAGACGGGGATTGCACAAGGCATTGTTGTTGAGATACAGGGTGAGATCAGCTTTGGTCTATGTTCTAGGTTAGACGGCTGGAGGACTGAGTTCACTTTCTGGATGAGGGACTTGACGTTTCTGAAAAGTTGCTTAGCAACCAGTTCGTGAAGAGATGGTGTACTTAGAACTAGACAGACAGGGAGATAAACCCAACCTCACCTGGGAGAGGGTATGGACCTGGCTTCTCTGAATGCATGCGCCGCGACATTCGTGTAGGGTGTGAGCTTTGGCCTTTGCGATCGACACATGTTGGTAATAGACGTGATCATCACCATCAAAAGGTTTCTCTTCTGGTTTACTATTCAATGCATTTTTCGGGTTGACACCAAAGATTGCAGCATGTGGGAGGATAGATGTTTTAAAAGTACTCTCGCTAAGGCAGGATCTGCCTTGTGCAGGCAAGCGGCAGAGCGGGGTTTGGGCTCTTCCAAAACGAACTCTAAACATGAGTTGCACACGGGGACACCCCGATGAAACCAGTATTGCATGTTTTGGGTAATTGTAGATTGTGTTTCTTCAAAAGGCACCAATTCTTTCATAATCCCAACTGTAGGTTGGTGCCTAATATGACTGATACAACTCCAGCCATAGTTGCTGCTTTGAATCAGCTACAACTGGAACAGCTTCTCTACGGCGTTAGCTAGAAGGCCATCTTTCTCAAAAAAATTGGGCTATGTAGCCAAATTCTTCCATTGATTTTTGAGTATTAACAGTTTTGAACAATCTTGCGGAGGCGCATTGAGAACATGGTTACTTAGACATTGTGTTCTGATTCTTGCCGGCTATAAATCAAGGATGAAGGATGCTATTGAGTTCGTCATTAAATCGACCCACCTTTTTACTAAATATGTGCCGACTTGCCAAAATGCCGAGTCTATCCTTCCTGCTACAGGAACACAGTCGTACTTGATATTGGGATGATCGCTTTGGTGAGACTTGAAAGAAAATCATTTTCAACGATTAAACACGCTCGAAGATCACGCTAGTCACGTGATGAGTCAATTTAGCAATTCCCATAAAGTATCTATAGATCGAAGTAGCGAAATATTCAAAAACCAAAGCGGTATATAAACATCAAACATCGAATGTTTCTACCAGTTGTGATCGTCAAGGACCAAAAGTTGGCTCTTTCGACCTGTCCAAGCAAGAGCGTGCTGATTTGTGCAGTAATTACCTTTTGGAGCAATAGGTGGTCGAATTCTTGGGCGTGGAGTAGAGAGCATTATTATCTCTGAATAGACATGACTAAGAAAGGTCTTGCAGAAATCTGAAGACTCCTCTGTACACTCGCTCAGGTTCTTTTCTTTTCTTCATGTAGCATGTGAAAAATTGTACAATATACTTGCGTACATAAACATACATACAACATTAAATCAAAAAAAATACTACGATGGATGTATGAAACCAATTAAGATTTCGATAATCAGGGATAGTTGTGATTTAAAAGAGGGCTAGAAAGATCTCCTACAACTTTTGTGTTCTCTATGGCATAGGATTGTACTTGAGTATGTGTATACACAAACACACACACACACTCTCATGATCTCTTTTACTTAAGTTTAAGAGAGAGAGCGAGCGTTTTCACATTTGGGGCTGGCCTTGGAGACCAGCAGCAGGGGGGAATCCTCGTCTCGCATGCTGAACTTATCTGGTTGCTGAGCAGCAGCAGCTGCGTATTTGATTCCTGCGATTGGCTTTCTCGAACCACCTGAGCGGACAATCACAATGTCGAGACCACTTGAATTAAACAAACAGAGGAAGACAAGGAGGATGCGTCAAGTTTATCAGATGAAAGAACACTATGCACAACCACGACACGGCCACCGCGACTACAAACTTCGGATGCGATGAGCTTAGAATACCCAGACCAAGTTTAACCAGAAGCTCCTCAGCATTCGTAAACTTCGACGACGATGACGGCACTTCTTCACCTCGCGGAATCCGATCCTTGGCAGTCTGTCAGGGGCCGTCACTGCATTGTCTCACAATCTATAGAACGGGTAAATTAGTTAGTGCTAAAATTTTGACTTTAGTAGATTAGAACCGGTATTGATGAAATCAGGAAACCAATAGTCATGTGAAAGGTTCCAAGATACAGTTAACTGACAAAAAAAACCAGTTGGAATCTGAAAAAGGGTATAGTAGGAGAAAGATTGATTAGCTTAGGGCCAGACTTGTGAGTCTTAGAGCCGGGGTATGCTTGGGTGCTACCTCTATTTTTTCTATTTCTTTTCTTTTGTATTTTGATGTTTCGTTGTGTTTACAAAGAGAAGTTTATGAGAATTGTGTGTTGATCACAGTGTTACAGTGAATGCTGTATTGGACCAGAATTGGTTCTATACATTGCACATGAAATAGTGTTATAGATTGAGAGATGATAGTTTGAAAATGATTGAATGACCATTGAGTTGGAAAATATAAATGAAGTTAGAATTACAAAGAATTGATAAGAAATTGAGAATGTTGTAATTGAAGTTATTAAATTAGACATGGTACTGAAGAATTAATATTATACAATTCAGTGATTGGGAATTAACTTATTAAATATCAAATGATTATATTCAATTAATGGTGACCTTAACAATTAACTCATGCGACAGTTCTTTCTCTTGTGTTTGAACCGATTTAAACTATACTTAATTCAGAAATTGTGGCAATTTGGATTTCCTGACTACATTTTGGCGCCGCTGCCGGGGAAAGACAACAGTTATGAGTGTTGAGCATTAATTGAGAAATTTGATATTGAATGAGGAGTTGTAAGATTGGAGAATTGTGGTAATTGTGAAATGATTAAGAAAGAAGGAGATTATGAAATAAAAGGGAAATGATGTTATGATACATCAACATGATTTTGATTATGAAAGACGTATTAAACAAAAACGAGACCGACAATTGAGATTGGCCGCAAGGAATGTAAACCGTATTGTGGGAGAAGTATTACAGAAAAGGAGGAGACGACAGAGTTGGATTAAACTGTGGTTGCATGCATGTCGACATATACGATCATATTCAGTTCTTGAGAGGGAGGCAATATTTCAGAATTACATTTCTTTCTCTAAATTACCTCTTTCATTGGCAGGAGACTCTTCTAGTTTAATAGTTAAGTCTGTTAAACGATTTGTAAAGAAAAGAATATTTACCAAAGAATTCGGCTCATTATTTCAAGGAGCATTATTGCCAAATAAATTTAAACAATTGGAGTTACCTGCTGAGGTATTAAGTAGCCCGGTGGAAGAGATTATTAAAGACATTGAACGAATTACGGAATCAGAAACTATCACACTTCCGATTTTACCACCAATTGTATTATTACCAATGGCATCTGGAGGTGTACCCAGTGTTCCTACAGGACCACCGGTACCACCAATAGGGCTAATTGGACCAGCAGTACCAATTTCTGTTCCAATGGGCCAAGTAGGAGATCGAACTACAAGTATAGCACCACTACCAATTTTTAGCGGATGGCCCGGTGCTGATCCAGATCAACATCTATCCCAATTTTTGACCGCTTGTGTAGCCAATAATGGACGAACAGAAGATGTGTGGTTAAGATGGTTACCTGCAACTTTGAAGGATACCGCTTTCGAATGGTATAATCGACAACCAGCGGGTTCGTTTCCAAATTGGGAAGCTTTAAGAGCTGCTTTTCTTCTTCATTTTAGACCAATCGGATATGAAGACCGATTGAGAGAACAATTAATGCGAAGTCATATGATACCAGGAGAGGCTGTGGAGTCATATTATGGGCGAGTAGCTGACATAATTCGCCGTTGGTCCAATAATCATTTACCTAAAAATTCCATTTTATCAATATTGATCAATGGGCTCTACCCACCAGAATTGAAAATGTTTGTTAAGGAA